GTCAAACAAAAATTTGAGTGGAAATATAAAACATTTGCATCACCAGAATATAACCCCTGATGTACCTTTGCAGTTCCTCTCCTATCTTTGGAATCAGCCAGCCATTAATCTACTATCAATGGAGATGAATTTTGCTGCTTTTAGAATTTTACATCAATGGAACCACATAGTACGCACTCTTGAAAGCCTGTTTTTTGCTCAGTATAATGCCTTCGAGTTTCATCCACCTTGTTACATAGAGCAACAGTTCATTCCTTTTATTGTTGAGTAATATTTCATTATGTGGATATATAATAATTTGTTTATCCATTACCCCATTGGGTTGTTTCCAATTTTTGGCTGACATTAATAAAACCAGCGTAAATATTTATGTTAAAGTCTTTCTGTAGACATTTATTTTCAAATCTTTTGCGGAAATAGGTTGGAGTAGAATTGTTAGGTTATATAGAGGAATTTTTTTTTTTTGCTTCCCCTCTATTTTTGTGATTAACATGCAATCTGTGAGGTGATAGGTATGTCTATTACCTTGACTGTGGTGCTGCTATCATGGGTGTTTGCATATGTCCAAACTCATCAAACTGCACACATTAAATATGTGCAGTTTTCTGTATATAAATTATATTCAAATAAAGCTGTGTTTAAAAAGGAAATATATGTTTAATTTCATAAACATATAACATTGTCCAGAGGTTGTACCATTCCCATCATTAATGTAGAATAGTCCCAGTTGCTCCACATCAATAGCAATATTTGATATGGTAAGTCTTACATTTTAACTACTCAAGTAGTTATACGATGATATCTACATGTAGTTTAATTTGCACATTTTTATTTATTTTTTATTTTATTTTTATTTTTATTTTTTAAAATATATGTTATTGATTTTTTACAGAGAGAAGGGAGAGAGATAGAGAGTTAGAAACATCGATGAGAGAGAAACATCGATCAGCTGCCTCCTGCACATCCCCCACTGGGGAAGTGCCCGCAACCCAGGTACATGCCCTTGACCGGAATTGAACCTGGGGCCCTTCAGTCCGCAGGCCGACGCTCTATCCACTGAGCCAAACCGGTTTCGGCTAATTTGCACATTTTTAATGATCTGTTGAGCATTCTCATGGGCTTATGCCAATTAATATATATATATATATATATATATATATATATATATATATATAGTGTTGTGAAGTCTCTATTTAAATATTTTGCCAATTATTAGTATTATTTGTCTTGAGTTCTAATATATATATATATATATATATATATATATAGAGAGAGAGAGAGAGAGAGAGAGAGAGACACCCTTCTCATTGGCTAATCAGCAGGATATGCAAATTAACTGCCAACCAAGATGGCGGCCAGCAGCCACCCAGCTGAAGCAAACAGGAGGCTTGCTTACTCCAGTGATGGAGGAAGCCAATGTTCCCGGCTTGCCGCTGCCAGCCTCTGAGCTGCACTCTAAGCAACTATGTTGCAATTATAGAAGCTAAACAAGCTCCAGAGACCTGCTTTCAGCCAGCTTCGGCCTCAGAGCTTAGAGCTACAGTGATGGCAACAGAGTTTCAATTATAGAAGCCAAACAAACCTAGAAACCTGCTTTCAGCCAGCTTCGGCCTCAGAGCTTAGAGCTTCTGTGATGGCAACAGAGTTTCAATTATAGAAGCCAAACAGACCCAGAACCTGCTTTCAGCCCTCAGAGCTGGAGCCAGCTCTCAGCTCCAGTGACAGCTATAGAAGGTAAATAAATCCCAGAATAAAAAAAAAGAAAAAAAGGAGAGGCTGGGAGCTTAAGTTGCCCTCCAGCTTGAAAACGGCTCTCAGGCCCTCACCCAGACTGGCCAGGCACCCAGTGGGGACCCCCACCCTGTAGGGGGTGTGACCAGCTGCAAACAGCCATCAGCCCGTCATCCAGGCTGGCCAGGCACCCAAGTGGGACCCCCACCCTAATCTGGGACACTCTTCAGGGCAAACCAGCTGGCTCCCACCCATGCACCAGGCCTCTATCCTTATATTACAGGCAGGGCAGGACAGCCCGAGTTGCCATCCGGGCCCCATGTGCAGCCCTGGGCAGCGGGGCATAAGCCCTGCCCCCAGCCGGGACCCCTGTGTGCCACCTGAGCCCCCAGCTGGGACCCCCATGCCGCCTAAGCCCCACACTGCTAAGTCCCGCCCCCAGCTTGGACCCTATGACTATTGGAGAGCATGAAAGTGCCACTGGGCCCTGGGTCGCTGTGGTGATCCGGCCATTGGTAAGTAGAAAAGTGCGGTCTATAGGCAGCCCCCAGCTGGACCTGATCCGGGAGCAGAAAAGCCTGGCCTGTGGTCAGCCCCCAGCTGGGCCTGCTCCCCGGTCGCCATGGCAATCTGGGAGCAGGAAGGCCCTGCTTGCAAGCAGCACCTCCATCCTGGCCATAGCTTAAGGGAGAGTACAACATGCAGTAGAGGCCAGGAACCTGAGAGATCAACACAGAGGGGCTCCTGCTCCAAGCCTCCATGGTGTGGCTGGGGGCAGGCCCCCAGCAGACACACACACATACACACACACACACACACACACACACACACACACACAGTGCCTGCTCTGAGCCTCCAATGTGGCTCAGACCCCCAGTGGGACACACACACACACACACACACACACACACACACACACACACGGCAACTACTTCGAGCCTACGTGGCATGGCTGGGGGCAGGCCCTAGCAGACAGACACACACACACACACACACACGGGATGCCTGCTCCGAGCCTCTGCTGCCAGACTGTGGCCATCAGTAGGACATCCACTGAGGGTTCCCAGACTGTGAGAGGGGCAGGCTGGGCTGAGGGAACCCCACCCCCTAGTGCACGAATTTCGTGCACCTGGCATCTAGTTTATAATAATAACAGGGTAATATGCTAATTAGACCTGACGTCTTCCGGACATCATTCCAGACGTCCTTCCTGATGAAACCGGGACAAGAGGGGAGCCAGCCAGGGTCCCGGGTGCCGGAGGGAAGCTGGTGCTGGCAGCTGGAGGAAGGAAGGCCTACTCTTGCACAAATTTTCATGCATTGGGCCTCTCGTGTATAAATAATATAGAAACAATCATTTTGTCAGATACATGTATTACAGATATTTTCCACCATTTGCAGACAATCTTTTCATGGAATTTCATTAGAATACTTCTTTACTGTTTTGCCCAGGTATATGTCAGTTCTCCTGATTTCTGCCATAAGATATTTTAGTGAGAACTAGATCATTTTGACATATCTCAGAACATGATATAGCTATTATAAAGAATAGACTCATTACATTAATGACATTATGCTAATTGTACCTGGTGAAGAATAAGCAGTAAAGAGTCTGTAACTTTAGTATGATATTTGTTCACCAAGAATATGACCTCATGGGACCAATTTGGCCTACTAGATCCTAAAATTTAAAATGTACAGCAGCATTCTATCATAAACTCAAAAGGAGCATATTGGAGGCTAGGCCTGAGCAATTCCAAAAAGGTAAACTGCAGGAGCAGATGGCTCAAACTCCCATGGTATATTTCTGTATTAATTTTCTCTCTTCTCCTGAACCATGTACATATACTTGGTGCAGGAGAGGGAAAGGGTTCCATATGATCACATAGTGGAGAAGTAAAAAGAAAAGTTTTATCACTGAATGTAAAATGTATGACTGTTAAAAATAGATTCCACATTATAGTCCCATTCAGGGGGTTCCCTTGAAATACAAGTGGAGTTAAATTAAATCTTTGAGTTAAACAGACATTTGGGTGATATATCTGGCTGTTCATCTAGCAGGAAAGATGAGTATCTAGCAATATAAATCTAAAATGACTCATATTCAGAGATTAACGGGTTCATTGGCTGGTCAAGAACTCAAAAAGAACAAAACTAGAACATGAGTGACAAAGAGATTTGGGGGAGAAGTATGCATAGGGATTATTCAGAATGAACACAGATTATTAAATTAATTCCTATGTAAATACCCCTAATTTTTGATAACCAGAGTTGAGGAGGAGACTTTGAGTAATCAGGTAGACAGAATGGTATGTGGTGTGGGCATCAGGAAGCCTCTTTCTCCAGACACCCTGATGTTTGATCAATGGACTAATACAGAATGGCCATGCAACTGAAATGAGTCCTATGCATGGGATCAACAGAGTTGTCTTCTACTACCCAAGGATGCCCTGGAACTGAGTGCCCAATATGTGAAATACAATGGCCAAATCTGTGTCCCAGATAAGATACCAATTCTGAGAGGGACAGCAGGCTAGCTTGGTGGCAGATTACATTGTGACTATCATATTGAAGAGGGCAACAGTGGGTTTTAATAAGATATACTCTTAATCCAATAATGAATTTGACTTCCTGCCCACAGATCTACTGTAGTAGCACAAGGATGTCATAGTATGTTGGATTCATCTCCCTTGTATTCAATTTACCATTGCCTTTACACTGATCATTTCTTGGAGAGTCACCTCAGACCATCATAGCCATACCTCTCTTAGGGATTTTGGACAATTATTTAAAATAACTGTTATGACAACTGATTGAATGTAGGCCTGATATTACCTTTCCTCGTGTCCTCATTCTATGCTCCTCACCGCTGGCCTGTGATTTACCAATCGCCACTAAAAAGTGCTAATTTCCTCTGTGTATGCATGCGCAACACTGACGTGTGGTAAAGATAGTAACCTTTAAAAGTTTTATTCTTATCTAGCCAAGCACTAGTTTTGTTTAGTATTTATATATTTATTTCTCATTAGAATATAAAGATAGACAGTTTGTCTTCTTCATTTTTTTCCTAATATACTGCACACAAATGACTGGTACATAGTAAGGGTCCAATAAATATTTATTGAAAAGAACGAAGCAAAATATCCACTTTTACTTTGCAGCAAACAGAATTTTACTCAGAAATTAACATGTCTATCCATTTTCATTCACCAACACATCCTGTGTGGTCAGACTATTTTTGGACTTCCTTTTAGTCTTTGGTACATCGTGCTAGCAGGAATATCCATCCAAGGCTGAAACTATTCTCTATTTTCTTTTACTATTTTCTGGGTAATATCACATGAAAATATTTGAGGAGATGGAGACTGAAGATGGTTACATGAAGCTGAATTTCAAGGATCGCTTCAAATCCCAGCAGAGATCTAAAGGTAGGAATATTGTTATTTCTCACTCAGACTCCAATTTAAAATTGCATTATTCTCTTAGGAAGTCATTTATCCTTGAATAATTTTAAAGTATTAAAATTAACTATATTCTGGGATTTTACAAAATGGTCATATGTTGCTTTAGATAGGTTATTTAGACTTATTTGAGCATCAACAATAAAAAAATAAACAAAAAACTCCCACAGTACTTTTGTAGCCACGGGGCCATCGAAATGCTAATAGGATAATGTATAATCTTCTCAGTGTGGTATAATAAGAATGCAAAGGTAACTTTCAAGTAAAAGGTCAAAGTTAGCATTTTCATAAAAATTATTCTTCCTACAAAACATAAGATTCTTGAAGGCAAATTCTTGGGTATGATATCTGTATGAAGATGCTTATTATACTCAGAGGTAAAAATCTAGTGCTGAGGGTGCGAGTAACAGAGGTCCTATAGCGTTATACAGCTTTAAAAGACATTTTTGTATATACATGTTGTATTTTATTAATCTTCTAAAAAGAGCCATGGGACTGGCAGAATAATCCATTGGGAAGGAGAGAGGGCAAAATAAATGAAAATATTAATCTTTGCTGTTTAGGATTGCTGTATCTGGTCAAGGTTGTTTTGTTTTCAGATCTGTTACAGGTTTTATAGATGAGTTTAATATACAACATATTGATTTGGCAATGAGTTTAAAATTTCCCTTCCTGGTAAGCATGGAACCAGCTAACTGCAGATAAATGTGCCTAGGATAGGTATTCCGTCATAATGTGCAGAAATATATTTTGAGGGTTTTTAGCTAAGTAGAGGTCTTTCTACTTTTGCCTGAGTGAAGAAATATCCACAGGCCAGAAAAAAAAAGAAAAGAAAAAGAAACTTACTTGGGATTTATTTTGAAATACAGACAATTGAGTAGTAAATTTCAAAAGTTTTACAACATACAGCACATCTTATAACTATGTATTATAGATATAAAGGGATACACTAAGTCCATTGAAATCAATTGAAATGAAGCATCCAGATACATCCAGATTTGAGAAAGAGCACTCTTTTATTATGACTTTTATTATAACCTAGAACAGTGATTCTCAACCTTTTTCACCACACTCTTTTATTACAACCTAGAATAGTGATTTTCAACTTTTTCATCTTATGGCACGCATAAACCAATTACTAAAATTCTGCGGCACAACAAAAAATGTTTTTTGTCATTTTTTAATTTGACAATCTAAGGGAAAAGAGGTAAGTCCCCTGACTAGTAAATAGTCAGATATTGCATATTTTAAAAATTTCTGTGGCACATCGGTTGAAAATCACTGACTTAGAACTATTTGTGAAATGTATGACTATGGTGATGAAATTAAGCGCATGCTTATTTATAAGCCAATACATATTGGGGAGTAATTACCTGAGTATCAAATTACTTGACTTTCTCTTTGGCCACTAGCAAGGAAAATTGGCTAGAATGCTTCTAGATTGAAATAATACTCCTATAGTTATGTTAAATAATATTCTAAATTCTCTGGAGGTTCCTCATTTATTCCTCTTTAAAGAGATAATTCCTGCCAACTCTGATCCAAAGTAGTACCATGCCAACGTTCCGTATACGCAGCATTGATTAGAGATCTACATTGCTTAGGCTGACACTGATTCCTGTCTGAAAATTCAAAACCAGGGATATATAATATATCATATGTAAAGGTGAGATTACATGTGACTATTCCCACTACAGTGACTGGACCCTAATAGGACTTCAATAATGTTCCTTTCTTTCTTCTCTTTCCTAAAGTGAGCCATTAAAATAAATAATACCCATAACATATATACACTTGGCACTGAACAATCCAAAAATGAAATTAAGAAAGAGTTCCATTTATAATAGCAATATACATACAGTACAAAATCACATATTATATATAATTTCTATTTTTCTATATGTAATATATGAAATATAGAATATGTATTATATATTATTTATACAGTATATACTACATAGTATCCGGTGTAATATAAAGAATATAAAAGATATAGTTATATTATTTATAATGTTATATATACAATACAAATTTTATATAGTTATATTTATATAGTAATATGTAATACACATAATACTATACATTATAAATTGTATATATTTATATAACATACAATTTAATAAATAATGCTAAGTTATAAAAAATATCACCAAACAATTAACAAAGACAGGAAAATGTGTTTAAAGTGAGTTATCACAAGAGTTCTAAAATTAATGAAAAAACAAATCAATATTGCAGATTTTGCCCTGCATGTACATTATTATGGCATTTTGGTAGTATTTGGATGCATCGGGATCCTTATTTACCTAATGACAGTGATTGGCCTGAACTTTTCAAGTGAGTATGGAGTTTTTATTTATTTCTGCTACTTTAGTAGATAAACTGATCTTTAATTTTATTAATATCAAGACCAGCTCCACATTATAGTCCAAAATTGGTAAATTAAACTTTCTAGCCATATGTCATGTTACAAAATTATTTTAAATTTAATAAAAATTAAGAAACACTCAAGTATAATATAAGCATTTATTCTGCATCTTTAAAAAAAAAAAAACTTCCAGTGAAAAGTTGACTTATTATGTGCTTATTCGTATTACTTTGAAAAACAATAATTTAAGTGTATTAATGTGCTAGTTAAAACAAGGGGGGAGTATTTGAAAACCCTTTTAGGTGGACTTCTGCATCTCCCCCCACCCTTAAGTGGTACTCAATCTGTGTATTACGTGTTCAATCTTTTAAAAACCAACCAGACCAATGCATAGATGCATGGTTTCTACAGTTTTCTAGATAATGCAACTGAGAAGCTGAAGACACTTGATATCATAAAATGGGAGTTTCTGGAATAAGAAGAAATAACAAAAAATAATATACAAAAAAAGTAGGTATGAGGTTTAAGAATAGCCTCATCAATCTTGAGAAGGAAAAACACACGTTGGAGGTATCACAATATGTAATATCAAACTATACTACAAGGCAAATGTAATTAAAACAGCCTGATACTAGCATAAGAACAGGCATATAGATCAATGGAACAGAACGGAGAGCCCAGAAATAAACCCACGCCTTATGGTCAATTAGTTTTTATTTATTTATTTTTATTTTTATTTTTTTTATTATTAGTTAAGGTATTACAAATGTGTCCTCATCCCCCCCATTAACCCCCAACCTCCCCCCTCCCCCGCCCCGCACACTCATGCTCCCATCCCCCTGTTGTCCATGTCCATTGGTTTGGCTTATATACATGTATACAAGTAAAGGAGGCAAGAGCATACATAGGAATCAAGAAAGTCTCTTCAATAAATGGTGTTTGGAAAATTGGGCAGAAAGGTGCAAAAAATGAAACTAGACCATCAAATTACACCATACACAATAATAAATAAAAATGGACAAAAGACTTAAATGTAAGCTGTGAAACCATAAAAAATTCTAGAAAATACATAGGCAGTAAATCTCAGACATCTCTCAGCAATATTGTTACCAATACATCTCCTAGGGCAAAGGAAACAAAGGGAAAAATAAACAAATTTGACTAAAAAGCTTCACCACCGCAAAAGAAACCATCAACAAAATGAAAAGGACCCCACTGCATGGGAGGACATATTTGCCAGTGATATATCTGATAAGGGATTAATTTCCAAAGTACACAAAGAATTTATGCAACTTAACACCAGGAACTTTTCAAGTGAGTATGGATTATATTTTCAGATAATCCAATTAAAAAATGGGCAAAGGTCCTGAATAAACACTTCTTCAAAGAGGACACACAGACGGCCAACAGACATGAAAAATTGCTCAATGTCACTAATCAGTAGAAAGATGTAAATTAAATCCACAATGAGATACAACCTCAAACCTGCCAGAATAGCTATCATTAATATATCAACAAACAACAAGTACTGGCCAGGATGTGGAGAAAAGGAAACTCGGGTGGAGGTGGGCGAAGGGGGGGGGGGGTGGGGGGCATCTATAATAGTGTCAACAATTAAAAAAAGGAATGAATGCAATATTTAGAATTGTGATTAGCACTCAAAGGAATAAAAAAAAATATGATTAAAAAATGGCTAATTCTGGGGAAGGAGAGGAATAGAAGCCTAGTATAAGATAAGGACTTTCAGTTTTTATTTGCATGTCTTTTATCTTATGTTAGCATTTTTATTCTCATATACCTAAATTGCTATTTATTAAGTGTTACTCATTATATTTTTTCTTTGCACTGAGTACAGATAAAAAAATGGATTTCTCACAGAATGTAAACATCAGCAGCCTAGCAGGTAACGCTTGTTTGTTGTCTGGTTGGTTTCGTCTGTAATGTGCTTCTCTATGTTTGAATCAAGAAGTTTCAACCAACTGGTCATATAAATTTAGGCAAATTAAATATCAAGTTTTTTTTTAAAACTTTCAAATGGTGATATGATAACTATGTCATAGAATATTTAGTATAGTTTAAATCAGCTGTAATGGTTAATTTTGGGTGTCAACCTGACCTGGCCATGCATGATATCCAATATTTGGTCTAACACTAGTCCAGATGTTGCTGTAAAAGTACATTTTAGAAACACTAACATTTAAATCAGTAGATTTTAGTAAAACAGATTATCCATCCTTTGCTAAATGATACCTAAATGTTATGTCTTCAAGGTGGCCGAAAATATGGCTGGTTAAGTCAACATTTTTATGCCTTACAATGTGGTCACCCTGCTAATTCTAGTAATCATCTGTCACCTTGAAAACCTATCACAATATTTTTTATTAAATTTCCTTTCCCCTTTTCACCCATCTACCCACCTCCTCCCTTTTGGTAACCATCCCTTTGGTCTGTTTCTATGAGTTTAGTTTTGTTTTATTTTGATTTTAGATTCTACATATAAGTGAAACCATACAATATTGGTTTTTCTCTGCCTGACTTATTTAACTTAGCATAATATCCTCTGTATCCATTCATGTTGTCACAAATGGCAAGATTTCATTCTCTATAATTACTGCATAATATTCCTTTGTGTATATACACCACATATAAAGGCTTTGTTTTTGAAGTGGAAGTACAATTGAACATTAAGAGATAAGTTAATTTAGAGCAGTGGTTGCCAATGTGGGGCACACGCCCCACAGGGGGGCAATTTAATTTTTAAGGGGGGCAATTCGAGAATGAGTTATTAACAGAGAAATTTTTGCATTTCTTATGGTTCTAGGATCCTCATATACAGTATATAAACATATATTGTGACATATTTATGCATTTCAGTTCTCTATTGTATGTTTGAAACTTTATTTGCTATTTTTTAATATCACTTCATTTTTTTTTAATAATTTCTTAGTGATTTCTTCTTCAGTACTTCAACTGTCCTTTTGTTCTTTTATTTTTCTCTTTCATGGATGCCATGTTCTTTGGAAGCTTGTTTAGACAAGTTAAAGGCCTTTTAGTCTTCCTCCATGTGAATAGGAGTTCACTTTTGAATAATAAGAATGATATGTCATGGGGCCGAGGGGGGATCAGGATTTTAGAGATGCTTAGGTGATGCATGGCCAAAAATAGGTTGGGAACCACTGATTTAGATTATGCAAATGAAGGGAAAACTATTGAAGGCTAAGGGAACAGTATAAAGGGAAAACACAGGAGGATATGCTAGCATGTATCCAGTGCAATGGAGTAAGCAATGGTGGTGTGAGTAATCTCAGAGAAATGAAGTGCCAGTTGTAAAGAAACCTTGAGAGTAAGGAATTAGAATCAAATAATGGATGGGCTTTTACTTTTTCAGTTAATAATAAACAATCAAAATATTATACATTTGTTTCTTCTAACTATAGGGGTCAGACTTTACAAGCTTTGCTCTTCCCAAACCCTGTCACCCAAAACCCTGCCCCCAGTACTGGAAAGACACAAACGACTGAATGAATCTCATTTTTATTCTACTAATAGAGCCGCCTTTTAATCACAAAAAGTGAATTGGTAATGGTCTATTTTCCAGTCAATCACATTAGATACTATTCATACTTTCTCTATTAACTGTAGACTTTACTTAACTTTTTCTTCATACATTTTCTTTCAGGAAATAATCATATATGCCCAAATGACTGGCTGCTGAATGAAGGGAAGTGTTACAAGTTTTCAAATTTTTCTAAAACTTGGAATGAGAGTCAGCGTGATTGTTCAAAGCTCCAGGCACATTTGCCCATGATTCACAATTTGAAAGAGCTGGTGAGGAGTCAAAAACAGGGTCTAAGTGCCCAAGGAAAAATTCTAGGTGCAATTCTAAAAAGTGTGGGTGGAATAAAAATAAAAAAATAAATAAAAATAAAATAAATAAAATAAAAAAGTGTGGGTGGTTTATAGTCATTGATTTGGACATCCATGAGCCCTAATACAATTACTATTGTTTATGATTTAAAAACCACTATTATTTATGAAAGAAATAATTATTTTCTTTATCAAGTACCTTACTCTGGCACATTACCGTACTCTATAGAAGGCATTGACATGTTTTTGAATAAATGAATGAGTGAATATACTGTTTTGTCTCTAGGAATTCATACAGAAGAGTTTAAAACCTGGATTTCCTAGTTGGATTGGATTATACATTATATCCCCAGGAAAGCAATGGATGTGGATAAATGAACACCCACTTGTGGAACCAAAAAAGTAAGTAGTGATTTGAGCAAAGGGATGGTGTAATGATGCTGTTTTCCTTGAGTTTCAAGATTTTTCTTTCTTCCTTCTTACCTGCCTTTTTTAAAAATTATTTTTCTCTCCTTTCTTCTTTCTGTCTCCCCCTTTTTTTGGGGGGAGGGAGAGGTAGGAATTAAATAATGTTGAGAAGTATGGTAGAGTTAGAAATGCTTCTTGAATTGATATCTGAAAGTATAAATTTAAAATTCTGCCCTTAGAAAATTCTTCCAAATTTATTAATATAAATTTGTTCATCTGTATGAAAAGAGGAACAAAGCTTTCCTCACAATGTTCTTGGGTGAACAACATAAGGTAACACATGGAAGAGTGCTTTAACATTCTTAAGTGTCAGATACATTCACCGGTTCTCCTCTGTGCACTCCTTTTCTTTGCACGTTACACTATTAGAGCACCTGAGACCTGGCAAGTTGCAGCAAAGCCATGGGGCCAGAGTTATTTCAGTCTGGATATTTATTTTCTATTCTCCATCGTCTTTCATGAATATAAAACTAAGGCATCCAGTACTATTCACATTTTTGGGACTTATTTTGATTGTAATATTTGAAAATATTAGTAAAAGATATGTAGGCTCATTTTACTTGAAAACTGACATATTGTTAGGGTAACACATCTGCTTTTAAAGCTTTAATTTAATTATTTAACAAAAATGATGTGCAGATGGTTATAATAGTGTTTGGTTTTTATATTTTAAACAAGAATCAGTAACTAAAAACATAGTTAAGAAAGTAGCTTTCTCCAAAAATATTCTAAATACACGTTTTCCTAGTCCTGTTACACTATGGAAGTTAAACAAGGAAGTTAACATTATCTAAACAGTTTTACTTAACTTTAAAAAGTCATTCTTTTTTTCTCTGTTACTGCTTTGTAACTCCCATTAATATGTTTCATCTTTACCAAAACTTCCATTGTAACATCCAATTAGCTTTTAAAGAACAGTATTTATGTTGCCACATGGAAAATTAATACATAGAAACAAAATTGAAACTGAAGTTCATTTAGAAGCCATGACCAGAGATATGGAAAAGGTAGGTACCAGTAGCCTGGATTAGAGGTGAATAAATATGAGGGTTTATCTTGGGATAGAATATCCAGGACTTGCTGATATACTTAAGGCAAGAACAGAGAGGGAAGGAAGAGACAGGGATGCTTCTAGTCTTCGAGTTTGAGCTTCAGTGCTGATACTATTCCAATAAGAGAGACATTTGGTTGGAGGTTCAAGGGGGTAGGAGAGAGCTTGACCGGCAAGCAAATCAAGAGTGCCCAAATACAATCATTGGCAACATTTTGTCTGTTGAGGAGTTACCTGTACAAGTTTGGCTGGAGAAGACTTTAATAAATACAATCATCATTATAAATATTATAAATTGTCTAAAGTCTGCCCTTTGTCTCCTAGTTTTTCAGTGATTGGACCAACTGATAGCACGAGCTGTGCTGTGACAACAAGAAATCAAGTGTATTCTGAAGACTGTGGCTCCAAATTTAATGGCATTTGTCAGAGAGATGTTGTCTGAACAATAAAAGCAAATCTGTGCATTTAAATAAGAAAGTGGAAGAAATGTGTACGGATGTTAACAGTGACTATCCATTTCTTTAGATAAATTTACTTCGTTTTCATCAAATATAAATTTTTAAAATATTTTGTACAGAAATAAAACTTCAAAATAAAAAGTATATTAATTTATTTTTAGAGAAGAAAACAGAATTCCTTATTGTTTTAATGTCTAAAAAATAATTAAATTTAATCTTTTTCTAATCCTGCCTAATCCCCATGTGTGTTCTATTCCTTGATCTCTAACTCTTTCTAAGCATTTGGTAAGATAATAGACCAGGCACATAGGCTACAGATATGACATTTTTTTCTTCATGGTGGGCCTTTACCCCAGGTTGACTATTTTCAATTTTATCTAAAAGAAATAAAACTTTCAGCTGGTAATAAAGTATTGAGATGTTGTAAGCATAAGCTGTCTATTTGTAGTAACATAATTTTGTTTTTAGTGTGATTTTAGAATTTATTCTCCTTTAATTAAATTTATTTTAAATATATTGAGAACTGTCATATTCCCTTAGTTTTCTAACTAAAATTCTATAAAAATTAAAGTTTCTAATTTTTTCTCTCATTTATTCAAAACACATTCATATTACAAAATAAATACCAAAGTTTGTGTCCACCTTATAAGTGAGGTAGTTATTTAAGTTCAAGAAGTTGTGTATAGTTAATTCTAAATCATCAGGAATTTATACCCTATTAACTGTGACTCAAAGAAAAAAAAGATGGATGAGTTACTCTAAATTGCTAAGCAATTAACAAAATTAACTTGTAACTATGAACCAATAATAAAAATAAAACCTATATTATGAACCAAATTTAACACATCTATCTGTAATGCCCAATATTGTCTAAAAATTACTATTTTCAAATTTTCTTGGTTGCAACATGATGCATAGATGTAATATGCCCATACTTGATTATATGATGACATTTGCCAGGATTACTTAAAGTCATTTGCTTTTACATAAAAGGTATGATGGGTGGGGTTCATAAAAACATCCTTTTATCATTTATCAGAAAATTTCAACTGCAATGAAGGAATTAAGCTTCATTAAAGATATTAAGAAAGGACTTGTTTGTATGTGTTTACCCTATCACCTACTCCCTTTTTCTCCAGAATCTCTATCACTCTATCTCTTTACTTACACTCACATTCCTTCTTGTGAGTGCACACAGATGATACTTACCTAGGCAGGAAAGTAAACTCAAGTCAATATAACAAACACAGACTTGCTATAATTATTCAAATGTTCTGCAGGATTTGAATTTTATGACATACCCAGGCAGGTGTTATAAGGCCATCCTATTTCCTTGCTCTTACTTGGAAAATTAAATTTTTATAAAAATCTATTGTTTGGTCACTTTTAATGTCATTATTCCAGTTATATTCTATAGTTTAAGCTTTGTAATTCTAATCTGTAATTCTATCAGTGATTATTATTTATAGAGTTAAGATCCTTCTTGGTGGATTTTCCCTTGTTTTTAGTATAAAATCAAAGTTACCATGGTTAGTATCTATAATAATAAAAGCATAATATGCTAATTAGACTGGACAGCTGAATGATCTTCTGCACATTATTTCAGACGTCCTTCCAGATGAAGCTGCAGTGGTGCGGGCCGAGGCAGAGGTGATTAGGGGCAATCAGGCAGGCAGGCGAGCAGTTAAGGGCAATTAGGCAGGCAGGCAGAGGCAGTTAGGGGTGATCAGTTGGACATCCCCAAGGGGTCCCGGATTGCAAGAGGGTGCAGGCCAGACTGAGGGAACCGCCCCCCCCCCCCCCCCGGAAATTTCATGCATCGGGCCTCTAGTTTTATAATATTTACATATATAGAACACTTATATGTCTCTAACTTTTAAACTGTTAAGTCTTGGCTGATCTGTTAATATAGATCCATTGCTTTTCATAACCATCATTGCATGTAATTGTTTATTGTTATTTTGTTTGTACCTAATAGAAGTTTCTTGACTTGTGCACTTAATGGGAAATTTTGTGTCTTGAATTGATGAGGTTTTGACTGTAATCATTCACTCAATTTTTTAAAAAATATATTTTTATTGATTTCAGAGAGGAAGGGAGAGGGAGAGATTGAAACATTAATGATGAGAGAGGATCACTGGTTGGCTGCCTTCTATTGGGGATCGAGCCTGCAACCCAGGCATGTGCCCTGACAGGGAATTGAACTGTGACCTCCTGGTTCATAAGTCGATGCTCAACCACTGAGCTACACAGGCTGGGCTCATTCAAGAGTTTTTAGTTCCTTTTGTCACTTGACCAGTTCCTATGCCCTACCCTGGTATAGTCTGGCACCTCCAGCCCTTGACTCACGCAGAAAAGAATAAAAATAAAAACGAGTCTGAATGAGAAGAAAAGCAAGTTTTATTTAGGTAGAGACTAAGAATCTAGAACTCGGGTTCCTGGAGACAGGTCCGAGGTTGAGCCATGGTCTGGGTCCCCAGAGTGGATGTAAGCGAATTCACTAGTGAATTGCACACTGTGTCAGTCAGTTCTTGGGACTTTATGTGTTTCCAAGGGTGGGCTGTTTCTGGACTCTGTTGCACCAAATTCTGACTCCGCCTTCTGGTTGAGAGGGGTTCCTGTTCCCAATATGGTCCATTTTGGAAGTGTCATGGGGCTCATCCACCCCACCTCTTCTACTTATAGTGTCAGCTTTTAAGATTAATTTTGGGGTGATATTTATTGATGTTCTTTGTGAACGGTGACGCGGAGATGAGTCGGACAACAGGATATGAAGAAGCAGAGGGCTACCGCTCAGGCAAGTAGCAATGCCCCTAAAAACTCTCATGGCTTTTATTTGGGGAGTACAGCAAATAACAATGGAGTACAGCAAGTGACAATGATTAACGGGCATGCTTATGAGATCATCTGAGCTAAGTTATACATTGCACTATTAATTTCCTATGTTATACCAAGACCCTTTCCACCTGCAGCAGTGCACCCTCCCTGGCTTTCCATGCCCTCATGGACTATTTATCATGTCAAGGAAAGTTCTGCCTCTGAACAATAAGTCTTGCTTGCAAGACTTTGTTCTGACGTGGCCTGCTTGCAGGCTCCCGCTGTTTCCTGGCAGAACGTCCTCTTCTAGTTAACTTTTCATTCCACTTGTCCAGCTACAACTTGTCCAGCTACAGGTATTGCTTAATAAAATTATACAGGATTCAGGAATACAATTCTACAGTACATCATCTCTATTATATTGTGACTACCATCCCAAGGCAAACTTTCTTCCATTACCATTTATCCCCCCTTTATCTTCTTCTCTGGTCAACGCTTCCTTCATCTTGGACTGATCAGGTTGTAGCTTTGATTTCTGTGACCACCTCAGGAGTTTTTCCTGACATGAACTGTTTCCCTTTGATCATGCCTGCAGGTGGGGGCTTTGATGAGATGACTGAGAGGCTTATCCTCCTGTGATGCCCCTCCAGCTTCCTCATTCTACTTGTTGGGAGTTTTCCCTAACTTCTTCCTATCCTGCCACACTTTCACAGCCTCAGAAGTGAAAACTAACTTTAGTCTTTCACTTTATTTTTTGTATGCTCACCTGAGGATCTGCTTATTGATTTGAGAGAGAGGAGAAAGGAGAGTGAAACATCATTCTGTCCTGAGCATGAACCCACAACCTTTTGGTGTACAGGAAAATGCTCCAATCAACTGAGCTATCCAGCCAGGGCTAGTCTATTCTCAAATGGTGGTAGTCATTTCTCAGTTTTTTTCTCTATTAAAATCTCGGTTTGCTGCAAATCCACTTGATATCAACAAATCCCCTTGAACTGTAAACTCCATCACCATTCAGAAAAGCAAATAATCCATTCCCATCAATTTCAAACCTAAAAAAGGAACAACAAAAATCAGTTTGGAAACCACTTACAACTGTAACAAAAAATAAAATTAAGAATACAGTGATTTTTCCCAGCAGGTGTTGCTCAGTGGTTGAGCATTGACCTATGAACCAGGAGGTCACAGTTTGATTCCTGGTCAGGACACATGCCTGGGTTGCAGGCTTGATCCCCGTAGGGGGCATGCAGGAGGCAGGAGATCAATGATTCTCTCTGATCATTGATGTTTCTCTCTCTTCCTCTCTGAAATCAATAAAAATATATGTTTTTAAAAATACAGTGATTTGAAACACTTTATACCAGACACTGAGATCCATACTTACCCTTCACTGTATGCTACACAAAAATATGTGTTACATTAAAGAAATGGAAGATTGAATGTATTATTAGTGTAATCTGTAACATTATTTAGAACAATAGGAAGACAGATATAGGAAGGCATGGAAAATTCAATGATATAAATATATCTCTATTTCTATTACATTTACCTATATCTACCTCTATCTATTATCTATCTATCTATCTATCTATCTATCTATCTATCTATCATCTATCTATCCATCCATCCATTTTCTATTTATCAATCATCTATCTATCAGGAGTCACTAAATCTAAAGGTCTCTGGAATTTTTTTTTAAAGCAGTTTTCTCAGACTTATAGATACAGAAAACAGACTGACAATTGACAGAGTGGAATGGGATTATGGGGCTGGGTGAAAAAGATGAAGGAATTAAGAAATATAAATCACTAGTTACAGAATAGTCTTGGAGATACAAATTATAGCATAGGGAATTCAGTCAATAATATTGTAATAACTACATATGGGATGAGGTGGGTACTGGATATGTCAGGGGGCCACTCAGTAAAGTGCATGATTGTCTAACCACTATGCTATACATCGAAAACTAATACAAGTCAATATTGAATATATACTATCATTGAAAAATAATAAATAAATAAATAAATAAATAAATAGCAGTTTCCTGGCATATTTTTAGCCAATGTTCCTTTTTGAAAGTAATAAGATTTATATATCTATTTGGTACTTTTGAAACATACTGAAACAATCACCAAAGATACTAATTATAATGTTGTTCTTATTAATTTTCTCTGCTGTTGACAAAAATTATCCCTTTTTTGTAATAGATATAATTTATCTTATCATACACATATCAATATTTAATTTTAAATAGCACTTAATGAAATATTAAGGGAGGAATACATGTATACAAAAGAAAATTAGTACAGTTCTTGTAGGTAAAATAGAATATAAGTGAGGAAACAAGATTCACTCAAGAAATGCTTTCATAAATAAATAATGTTGCTTATGATGGACATTTGGAAAGTTAAAGACAACTACATGTTCTCTACTTAAATAAGAAAGATCTTGTAAAAATTTAAGTGGTTGGTTGGAATTTGCAAAGTAGTTGAATTTGAATTATCAATAGGAGGGCTGATTAGCAAGAGTTTGACAGTGAAAAAATAAAATAGGAAACAAATAAAATGAAAAACTTCACTGTCATTTACAAGGTAGAAAGAAGATGGGTTGCTATAGGGTATGTTTCAGTGTGAAAGGGCACATATCACAACTCAAACCATGTAAGTTTTTTGTGCAACCAGAATGAAACCTTCCCTACTAAATTTGAAACTCACCAAGCATTGAATGTGGTGCCATTTGTCCATTTCCAAGGCTCTCCTTGTTTTCTGCTCAACCCAATCCAGTGCATAGATGTTCCCGTGTGCTTCTTCAAAAATTCCTTTCACAAAAATCAGGGCATAATCTATTTAATATTTTAGAGCACATTGCTAAACATGCTTCTCGCCCCAGCCAGATTTTATGATTTACATCTTAATTTGCATGCCCTAATGTGTCAACAGCAGCTAACAGCACAGATGTTTAGTTTAGTTTTACCAAAAAGATTTTCTCTTTGCTCTTGTTTCTTAAATGTCTCTAGGAGTAGAGTGACTTTATCAAGTCACTGAAACTCTCTGATCTACCCTGTCTCGAATTGTCTATAAAGGTCACTTCTGTTTCAACTTCTAATTCTAATGCATAAACCATTAATATATTTTAGTCACAGAGTGAATGACATAGGTGATAAACTGATATGATATGATATGATATGATATGATATGATATGATATGATATCTTTCTGGATGACAAAATCAGAAGCTAAGCAGTTTTTATAGGAACTAATTCAGCATGTTCTTTAAAGGTGACAGAGAACTAATGCTTATATTTTGTTTTCTGCACAGTTTTGCTCTCAAAAATCATTGAAGAAAGATTTCAGGGGGAAAGGGGTTTAGTGGAAAGTATAAGTACTGTTAAAATAAAAAGCTCAGTAATGAAGTACTTTGACTAAATACCAGAATAAAAATGCCCTTGCTGTTGTGTTTTCTCATAGAATCAGAAATCAAACTAACTTCTGAATACCATGTATTGCAATAAAATATATTGAGTGATGAGTTTAGTCCCTCTTCTCTGGGTTCCTAACTATTTGGACCGCAGACTGATCAGTCAGCTTTTCTTTACAAACAACTGCCGCTGTTACACTGAGGCCTGAATTCCAAGTTCCTTTTTCTTTGCCCCTTCATTTATTCCATTAATTGTCTCACTTTCTTCAAACTGTATGGATTTTCTTCACATCCTCATCTCTAAATTTTCATATCCTCTGTTTTTTTCAAGTTTTCTCTACTCTGGAGAGAATGCCATTGTGAAGGTATTAAAAACAATCTATTTAATAATATAAGAATGTTGAACAAAAATATTAGCTATCTGAGCAATATATATTGTGACTAAAGATATACCATCACTAGATAATTTGCTTTTGTTCAAATGCAAGTTCAACAAATTATGATATGACAATGACTGATACTTAATATCTCTGTGCTTCATTATCCTCACCTTTAAATGGGGATATGTAAATATTTACTTCAGAGGTATTAGTTGAAGATTGAATGAAGTTTTGTTTTGTTTTGTTTTATCTTTATTGTTGAAAAGTATTAGAGATTTCCTACTTTTTTCCCCCACTAACCCTTTGGCCTCCATCTGCTCCCTACCCCAGGCCTTCACCACCCTATTGTCTGTGTCCCTGGGTTGTGCATATATGCATATAAATTCTTTGGTTAATCTCTTTGCACCCATCCTCCCCTGCCTTCCCTCTGAGATTCTACAGTCTGTTCCATGCTTTTATGTCTCTGGATCTATTTTGTTCATTAGTTTATTTTGTTCATTAGATTCCACATATGAGTGAGATCATGTGATACTCGTCTTTCTCTGATTGGCTTATTTTGCTCAGCATAATACTTCATAGTTTCAGTGCTTAAAACATCATCTGACTTACATTATTGAGTATTAATTTTTGCCACTTTTATTCTCTTTTTGTACAAGCTTAAACTCTGAAATGATTGAAAACTTTCCCCTTTTCTTACCATATCTCCAGGTGTATCAATTTGAGCAAGTTCTGATCCCTGTGAACTGCAAAATATTTTACTGGCTGTCCAATTCTTAGTATCTTCAGAAAAATAGAAACACTTATCTCCTACTCCAATCCATTTTCCGGAACATTTTGTAGTTTGGGGATGTTCTGATGGTTTTTCTTGAATGAATACTGAAAAAAAAGAAAGAAATCATCAAAATTTTTAAAAAGTGTTTCTACTCATTCTGGTGAATCAATTTTACTTTTAACTCCCATGGTCTGAGGTTTGTAAAACTAGCTTAATTTATGGTATATTGAATGAATTCAATTCTGTCTGCAAGGAAGACCATTTTGTGGCCAAGTAGTCTATTTTATTTTCCTGGCTTCTGTTTTGAGAAATGGAACCCATAACTTCTCATGGTCTATATTGACATTCTCTCAAAAAAAATGCATAACATTTAGCAATCAAAGAAAAGACCTTGAGACCCAAATATAATTTAAGCCTCAAAGACAAGGTAAGAAATGAAGGATTCATTTTACCTCAAAGAAATGAGAAGGTCATAGACAAGAGAAGATATCCAAGTTACAGAATGAAACTCACCATAAATGATAACAAACTATTGAAACATAAGAGTTAGTGGAACGTTTGTTCTACTTCAACAATATTCAGTGCCAAAGGAACCAGAATAATAATTAATATATTTCTCTGAAAATTATTTTGAAAATTTGCTGTCTCAGGATTTTAGTTAGGTGCTGAGTAATGAGACTAAAATAAAAGTCCCTGCCTTCCAAATGTTTGAATAAGTTAATGGAACTGAAAAAGAACCAAGAACCAAGTAAATGTCCAAATGGAGGGCCAACTCCAAAGCCTTCTCTCCTCACTCTGCAATGATTATTTATTTACTTGTTTGTTTATTTTTTCTAATACTCAGAAGTGGATCCAGGCACCAAAGATGGGTAATAAAATATATTGTATTTGATATTGTACATAGAAAACCCTAAAGACTCCATCAAAAAACTATTGGACTTAATAAATGAATTGGCAATGTAGCAGGATACAAAATTAACACTCAGAAATCTATGGATTTTTTTTACATACTAATAATGAACTCACAGAAAGAGAAACTAAAAAATAATCCCATTGACCATTGTAACAAAAAAAAAAAAATTAAGATACCTAGTAATAAACTTACTGAGGAGGTGAAAGACCTCTACTTGGAAAACTACAGGTTACTGACAAAAGAAATAGAGGAAGACATAAACAAATGGAAGAATATACCGTGTTCATGGATTAGTAGAATCAACATTATTAATATGTCCTTACTACCCAAAGTAATCTATAGATTAAACACAATCCTCATTAAAATACTAATGGCATATTTCACAGACCTAGAACAAACTGCAAAAATTCATCTGGAATAAAAAAAGAGCCCAAATAGCTGCAGCAATCCTGAGAAAGAAGAGCAAAGTTGGAGGGATCACAATACCAGATATCAAGCTATATTACAAAGCCACTGTTTTCAGAACTGCCTGGTACTGGCACAAGAACAGACATATAGATCAATGGAAAAGAACAGAGAACCCAGAAATTGACCCAAGCTATTACGCTCAATTAAAATTTGACAAAGGAGGCAAGACCATACAATAGAGTCAAGACAGTCTCTTCAATAAATAGTGTTGGGAAAATTGGACAGATACATGAAAAAAAAAAATGAAACTAGATCACCAACTTACACCATACACAAAAATAAACTCAAAATGGATAAAGGACTTAAACATAGAATGGAAACCATAAAAACCCTAGAAGAATCTATTGGCAGCAAAATATCAGACATATGTCATAGCAATATCTTTATCAATACAACTCGTAGGGCAATGGAAGCTAAGGACTACACCAAAATAAAAAGCTTTTGCACAGCAAAGGAGACCATCAACAAAACAACAAGAAAACCCACTGCATGGGAGAATATATTTGCAATGTTATCTCTGGTAAGGGTTTAATCTCCAACATTTACAGGGAACTCATATAACTTAACAAAAGGAAGATAAAAAAGATCCAATAAAAAAAAAAAGGGCAAAGAACCTAAATAGACACTTTTTAAAAGAAGACATACAGAAGGGCCAAGAGACATATGAAAATATTCTCAAAGTCACTAGTCATCCGAGAGATGCAAATCAAAATGACAATGAAGTACCATCTCACACTTGTCAGAATGTCTATCATCAACAAATTAACAAACAAGTGCTGGCAAGGATTAGGAGAAAAAGGAACCCTCGTGCACTACTGGTAGTAATGCAGAATGCTGCAGCCACAGTGGAAAACACTATGGAGTATGCTTAAAAAGTTAAAGATGGAACTCCCATTTGACCCAGCAATCCCACTCCTAGGAATATATTCCAAGAAATCAGAAACACCAATCAGAAAGGATATATGCACCCCTATGTTCATTGCAGCACAATTTACAATAGCTAAGATTTGGAAACAGCCTTAGTGCCCACCAGCAGATGAGTAGATAAGAAAGTCTGTGGTACATCTACATAATGGAATACTAGGCTGCTGTAAAAAATAAAGAACTCTTACCATTTGCAACAGCATGGATGGACCTGGAGAGCATTATGCCTAGCAAAATAAGCCAGTCAGAGAAAGATAAATATCACCTGATCTCACTCATTTGTGGAATATAATGAACAACATAAACTGATGAACAAAAACAGACCCAGAGACAGAAGCATCAAACAGACTGTCAAACCTCAGAGGGAAGGCAGAGGAGGGTAAGAGAAGGGGGTAGAGATCAACCAAAGGACTTACATGCATGCATATAAGCATAACCAGTAGACATGGACATGGGGTTGGGGGGGGGGCATGTGCTGAAGGGTGGGAGTGGCTGGGGAAGGGTCAATGAGGGGAAAAGGAGTCATATGTAATACTTTCAACAATAAAGAATTTTTTTTAAGGCCATCTACAGGGGTGGGGGCAGACTAATAGGGGTCAATGGGGGACAAAGGGGACATATGTAATACTTTCAACAGTAAAGATTTAATTAAAATATATATTGTGTTTCAACACTTTTAAAAATTAAATTAATCAAATAATCAATGATATAAAGACATCTCCATAGAAACCCTTTTCTCCAAATATTTGAATTGCAGATGTTTAAATCGATGACAATGAACTCCTAGGACTCTATAGTAACAGAGGAGACTGTGAGCAAGAAGCATGTTCAGTACTCTTGGAAATGACAAAGGAAACAAGAACCAAGAGTATAAACTATTGTACTTTAAGTGCTAAATTAAGCAAAACATGCATAGAGACAATCAAGTACTGAAAATGACTAGGTCCTATCTCAGGAATAAAAATCTACCTTGTATTCTTTTCACAAAATAGACCCATAATACCCAGAAGAAAATGAATGTCTTCCTTTTTAAAAATCTACTCAAACAGAGAAAATTTTGCAACATTACTTATGTGGTTATTTTGTAGTTTTCCTTTCAACATAATAGGATAAAAATAAACAAATAATTCATAGAACTATTAGTAATATTACTTACTCTTGATCCAAAATAAATTAGAGTAAAGATATATTGTAATTATGGAGGAGTGTTGCATGGTGGTCACAATATTAGGAATTGTACCAGAATCACAATTTTGGCCCTGGAATTTATTTCTAAGAGGATATTTATTCACTTTGGCCTCTATTTCTTTGTATATAAATGGATTTCATAATTATACCTATTTGATAGTCTTGTCAGAATTAAATATGTTAAAATGTATTTAACCTTAGTTCTTTAACTCACACAAAGTACTCTCAATTCAAAAAAAAAGTTATTGCCTGCCCAGTGTGACTCAGTTGGTTAAGCATCCCATGCACCAACAGGTCACCAGTTTAATTCCTGGTCAGGGCACATGCCTGGGATGTGGGCTTAATCCGCAGTAGGGGGTGTGCAGGAGGCAGCTGATTAATGTTTTTTTCTCATTAATGTTTCTATCTCTCCCTTTTCCTCTCCCTTCCTTTTTCTCTAAAATCAATAACAACATATTAATTAAAAAATAGTTATTGCTGTGCCTATCTGACAGTCATCTGAGAATTTATGATTATTTTACTCCAAGATCAAGAACTACAATACAGTTGAGAAGATGACTGTAAAACTTGCTGAATTGGTAGGAACCTGAGGACAAATGTCTACAAACCAATTTATTACTCCCAAACTAAGAGATTCTGAATTAAGCTTGAAATATCCTATCTAATAATAGAGAAACATGGTAATTAACCATAACTTTGCTACCCTTCCCATTGGCCAATCCGCGAGATATGCAAATTAACTGCCAACCAAGATGGCAGCGGGCAGCCATGCAGCTTAAACAAACAGGAGGCTTGTTGGCCCCAGCGATGGAGGAAGCCAAGGTTCCCGGCTGCGGCTGCCCAGCTCTGAGCTCCTGAAGCAACAGCTCCAAAAGATACAATGTTTCAATTACAGAAGCTAAAAGATGGAGGTTAATTTGCATACGCAGGCTCCAAGCGGTGGAGTGAAGCCAAACAGCCCCAAAGCCGCAGAGCAGAGGGGCCTCACTGCCTGGGGATCGGCAGAGCCGGGGGGCTTCAGGGCATCCCGCCCCGGGATCAGCGGAGCTGAGAGGCATCCCCCCCGGGATCAGCGGACTGAGAGACATCCCGGCCCGGGATCAGCGGAGCCTGATGGCCCTGTGTGTTTATGCCCCCTGGGGGTGCAGAGGTCCTGTCCTAGGCAGAGGCCAATGGCGAAACTTAAGACTCCGAGAAGCGGCCTGGGGGCTGGAAGGCGGCTCCTCTGACCTCAGTGCTGGAGTCCCGCTGCTCCATCAGGAGAGGGGCAGAGAAAAGCCGGAGCCTCCCTCAAGGTGACCCGAAACCCCCACCCACACCAGGCAGGCTGCTGGGACTGTTCATGGAGGACTCACCTCCAAGCCCAGCCTGTGGCCTCCTGGGTGCAGGCCCCAGCGGGACGCGGGGTGGCGGCGGGGGGCCTTGAGTCCTGGGCTCCTTGCCTGCCTTCCAAGGCTTCCTCCTGCTTTAGGGCCTCGCCCTCCGGTCTCCTCCCCACCCCCTCCCTGCCCCCCCCCAGAGCAGCGGACCCACCGAGGGCGCTCCCCGCTGGCCGAGGGGGTGAATGAAGTGGCGGGGACTCCCGGGTGAAGGGTCGCCCTGGGGAGGAGTCCCGACCCCTCCAAGACCCGCTCCTGTTCAGCAACATCCCCAAGATCGTGCGTCTGCACCGGGGGCTGTGGGGCAGCGTGATGGCGCCGATGGTGGAGAAGGCGCTGCGCACGCAGGGGGCTGCTGCAGCCCGGGACCTCCTCAATGGCTTCAAGATGTTCGGCTCCCTCTTCAAGCCCTACATCCGGTACTGCATGGAGGAGGAGGGCTGCATGGAGTACACGTGCAGCCTGCTGCGACAATGAACTCTTCCGGGCCTACCTGACGTGGGCCGAGAAGCACCGGCAGTGCCAGCGGCTGAAGCTGAGCGACATGCTCGCCAAGCCCCACCAGCGGCTCACCAAGTACCCGCTGCTGCTCAAGTCGGTGCTGAGGAAGAGGGACGAGCCACGTGCCAAGGAGGCCGTCATCACCATGATCAGCTCCGTGGAGCACTTCATCCACCACGTGAACGCGTGCATGCGGCAGCGACAGGAGCGGCAGCAGCTGGCCGCCGTGGTGAGCAGCATGGACGCCTACGAGGTGGTGGAGGGTAGCAACGACGAGGTGGACAAGCTCCTGAAAGAATTTCTGCACCTGGACCTGACCGCGCCCATCCCAGGTGCCTCCCCGGAGGAGACGCGTCAGCTGCTGTTGGAGGGCAGCCTGAGGATGAAGGAGGGAAAGGACAGTAAGATGGATGTGTACTGCTTCCTCTTCACGGACCTGCTCTTAGTGACCAAGGCAGTGAAGAAGGCTGAGGGGACCAGGGTCATCAGGCCACCACTGCTGGTGGACAAGATCATGTGCCGGGAGCTACGGGACCCTGCCTCCTTCCTCCTCATCTACCTGAATGAGCTCCACAGCGCGTGGGGGCCTACACGTTCCAGGCCAGCGGGCAGGCTCTGTGCCAGGGCTGGGTGGACTCCATTTACAATGCCCAGAACCAGTTGCAGCAGCTGCATGCGTAGGAGCACGCGGGCAGCCAGCAGCACCTGCAGAGCCTGGAGGAGGAGGAGGAAGAGGAGGGTGGGGAGAGTAGCACTTCCGCCGCCAGATCCCCCACCATCCTGCACAAAAGCAGCAACAGCCTGGACTCCCAGCACTGCGCCTTGGTCGGCTCCACGGAGACCCTGGCCGTGGTAATGTTGGATCCCGGGGAGACGCTCTCCTCTACCGAGTTCGAGGGCGGCCCCTTCAGCTCCCAGTCAGACGAGATGTCCCTCAGTACCACCGCCTCATCTGTCACACTGACCAGCGAGCTGCTGGCCCTCGGCCCCGGGGAGGGCAGCTCCTGCTCCATGGACTCCGCCTACGGCACCCTCTCCCCCACCTCCTTGCAAGACTTTGCGACCCCAGCCCCTGTGGTGGAGCCAGTGCCCCGGCCCCTAGATTTACCACAGGCCCCTTCACCCCCGCCCTCTCCCTGCCACCACTGCCACCCCCCTGTCCAGCTGCTGCCCCGCCTGCCCCATCTGCTCAAGTCCAAATCTGAGGCCAGCCTCCTGCAGCTGCTGGCAGGGGCCGCCACCCAGGGTGCGCCCCCAGCCCCCAGCCGCAGCCTGTTGGAACTCTGCTTGGCTGCCAGAGCCACCGGCGCATCAGGACCACCCTGCTGCTTAACTCCCAGGCCCTGAGCACAGTGTGGAGCCACCATGCCTGGAGGACGCGGTCCGGGGCGGGCGCACCTGTGCCTGGTGCAGCGGGACTTGCTGGGGAGCCGCCCACCTTCCCGGCCGGGCCTTAGGCCCGGCGCCCAATGTGGAAGGGCCGCAGTGCGGCCACCAGGCCCTGAAGGCTGCCCTGAAAGCCACACAAAGACAACCTGCTGCTGGAGGGCAGGCATGCGGTGCTCCAGGAAGATTCTGGAGGTAGGGAAGGAAGGTCATGGAAGGGAACAATTGCAAGAGGAGATCCCGAAGGTTCTGAAAGCAGAGGACCAGCTCCTTGCAGACCTGAACTGTGTGGGCCTCTTTATCAGCCCTGGCGGTGGGAGACACAAAAGGAGGTGATGGACCGGGGCTGTGCCCAAGGAAGACTCAGAGGAAGCAACGTGTGGACAGGGCCTGGCGGAGCAGGCAGGCCCGTGCGGATCCCGCTGGAGCGCAGCCAGACCCCAAGGCGACCACCAAGCCAGGCCCCAGGGAGAAGCAAGCAGATGCCACTCCACTCACTGGAGAAGACCATTAAGCAGAAAACTAAAGAAACCAATTTTACATCATTTCCCAGGTGGAGAACAGTTGGCATGTAAGCCCCTGACCAGTGCCCAGCCTCTCCTCTGTCTGTCTATCTCACTCTTAGGTACCATGTTCTTTGTTCTCTCTTAACTGCAACTCATTTTTAAACTAGATTGCTTTTAAAAGAAGACTAAATAAAGTTTCCCTTAAGTTATTTAGGCAGTGCTGGGGCTGCTGGGGCCTTGATCAAAGACACAGATCCGCAGCCCCAGCATCCAGCAGCCCCAAGCCCCGCCATCAAGGTGCTGGGGCTGCTGGGGGTATCAGAGACACAAACCTGCAGGCCCGGCACCCAGCAGACCCAAGGCCTTCGCGGCAGCGCTAAGGAGCAGCAAGCCGAGCGGTAGGAAGCAGCAAGCAGGTGGGCAGTAAGGAGGGAGGGGTCCTGGACTGCGAGAGAGCACTTGCTGGGCTAAGGGACCCCCCACCCATCCCCAGTGCACGAATTTCATGCACCGGGCCTCTAGTGAAATATATAAAAGCTTGAGCCGGCTGAGCATAAATAGCCATATAAAGTTTATGAATTAAGCAACTCACCTCTAATGACCAAATCAATAAAAGCAACAGCAGCAATAACAGCTATGAATGCAAAAATCCACTTGAGAACTGCAAAAAAATAAAATTAAATTAACATTTATAATAAAATTTCCAGAGAAACCCATACTGGATATTTATTATTCATTTATCCTATATAATAAAACACTAATATGCAAATTGACTAAACGGCAGAACGACCAGTTGCTATGATATGCACTGACCACTAGACATTCAACGCAGGAGCTGTTCCCTGGTGGTCAGTGTGCTCCCATGGGGGGAGCACCACTCAGCCAGAAGGTGGGCTCATGGCTGGCAAGCAGCGGCAGTAGTGGGAGTTTCTCCTGTCTCTGAGGCAGCACTAAGGACCCCTCAGGGGATGTCCAAGTGGGCCTAAGCCGGCAGTCGGACATCCTCCAAGGGGTCCCAGACTGTGAGAGGGCACAGGCCAGGTTGAGGGACCCCCCACCCTCACCCCCCAGTGCACGGTTGTCATGCACTGGGCCTCTAGTTCTTCCATAATATTCAGTCCAGAAGTTCTCATTAAAAGTATGTATCTCTTGTTGTTTTTTCTTGAAGGGTTTCTATTCTGAAAGAGCTTCATTTAAAACCAGTCTTTGCAGGTGACACTCATCATGATCTCTGCTACTCAAATTGATAATCATTGGGCTTGGTGGCAAAAAATAATGCAGAGAAGATATTCAAGTAGAATCTATGGATGTTTCATGATTATTTCTGGTATTACATTTTTCATTGTTTGTAAACAGATGGCCATTTATGAAAGATACTGGGAGTCACAGAAAATCACCATGATCCAACTAGAATTATCGAGGTATTTCATTAATAAGAATCAAATTGATGCCTCAGTAAGGAAGGAACCGATGGACACCACCTCAGGATGATCTTAAATTAAACCTGAATGCCTTTGGGCCTTTTAAAAGTCTCTCGAGCATTTTTAAATAGAAATAAATTTGGGCTTCACAAACTTAACACAAAAAGTATCTAATTCTTAAAGTAGTAAAAGATAAAATGGCCTTACAGAGTGCAAAGAAGGTAAGTGGCAATGATTGCTAGAGCAGTTCAGATGGGATGAGGGGTGAGGAGATCACTTAGATTTGGAAGGCGGGAGGAAAGGCAAGGTTATTTCCAAAGCCGGAAATAGTGTGAATGGGGATCGTAATCAAGAAAGTATAAGGGTCATCCATAGGACTATGATCAGACAAATGTCTATAACATATGTACAAATTTATAAACATCAAGCATTGGAAAGAGAGGACAGTTATAAGGTCACATGACAGAAGAACTTAAGTATAGGATACATTTTTTTTTTTTTATACTGTAAGCAATAAGGGGAAGAAGTTGAATGTGTTATGGCCGTACGAGTACATTAAAACACTAAAACATTTATAAACTAAAATATAAAAGATGATAAGATTTTTCAAAATGCAAAATGCCAAATATCTGATGTGAAAAAAAGAAATAACTGACATACATATTACAGATACTGAAATAGTAATGTCAGCGTAGCCGTAGACAGTTACAAACAAAAGAGAAGAAAGCAAACTAAGCTTAAACCAGGAAACAGTTTACCACTCACCTGAGGGAAAACCCTGCATCCTGCAGGCAGGAAAACAGCGTTGCAGCCCAATGAGGTGTGAGCTGGGTGGCATGGACGCAGGAAGACAAAGCAGCAAGGAAGGAAGAGCCAGCTCTTTCACTGGGAGGAAGAAGCCAATGAGGCCGCAGAAGGAGCCAAAATGGTGATCATACTATGGAGAGCGCACTAGCCTGGGCAAGTCTAGGAAAGAGTTGGATCGTTTGAAAGAAAGCCTATTCTTCCCACCCCGCTTCGCCCCGCCCTGCCCCAAAGAAGGAAATATAAGGCATATGGAAGCTTAGCCGGGACCTTGAGGTAGCCACTACCCTATAACCTGCCTGCTCTCTGCTTCTCCGAGTGTGTACTGTCACTCTGAGTGGTCACCTTTTGCTCTAATAAATCTTGCCACTATCACTAAACTCCTTTGTGAGTGTCCCTAGAATTCTTTTCCTGAAACACCACTGACGAACCACAGCCTCCAGTAACAGTAATTAAAATAGAGTAAATCTACGGCTAAGGCTCCATAGCTCAGGGGTTAGAGCACTGGTCTTATAAAATAGAGTAAATCTACGAAACTTTCAAGTAATAGCTAAAGCTTGTACTATACATTATGCTCCAGAAAATAGCAAAAAACAAACAAAACATGACATCTGCAAGAGAGGGCATGTGCTCAATCACGTAGGCATACCTTTATTCACGTTAGCCAGATGTGAGCTGTTTCTTCCCATCCTTCGGCTCTGCAGGTTGAGACAGGGAAAGCAATCTTGGTTATAGAATGGGACAGATCTGTGGTCACCAACTTCTTATCTGTAAAGGAACTTTTAGAAAACATTTATATTGGGATGTAATACACATACCATGAAATTCACTCCAACGGTCTTCATCCACCAGCTTGTGCCCTCTCTGGCAGGTATAATACTCTACATGTTCTCCTAAATCTCTTATTACTTTACAGAAATGCTGCCCCCACCTCACTTACTTTAGTAGTTTTCCTCTATAAGTACATTGTCAGCATTCTTAAGCTGTCCTGTGGGTTTTTTTGTTTGTTTTTCACTCACCCAGTGAAATTTAATTAGGGTTCTAGCCTGTTGTTACTAGTTCTGAAATGTTGGCAGTACAATACAAGTAGATTACTAACTGAATGTTAATGGAAAAACAAAATAGATTCAAACTCATACTTGTTTTGACCAGAGATAAAAGTAGATTTGTTAGTTTCAGGAAGGGAAAACAATAGACTCATTCATAAAAACAGTATCATGAAATCAGCAAAATCTTTTTATCCTCAGACAAGAAAAACATGCTAAGTGGCATTCTGAGTGCTACACAGGGAGAGTAGGATTCATATTATTATAGGACTCCATGCTATTTCTTGGAATTATTTCTCATTTTTATAGACAACCTATACACAATCATAATAATTATACACACACCATATTCAGTCTGTGAAGGTTCAGCATTTATTACTTGTGAGACCTTTAGAAAGTTGCCTAAATTCTGTTACTCAGTTTTCTTTTCTGTAAAATTCAGAGCAAGACTGTCCTTCCCTTGTATAAATATTACAATGATCAAATGAGATAGTGCATGGAGAATGCCTAAAATGATGATGCCTGGCATTTATGTGAAATTATCTATCTATCTATCTATCTATCTATCTATCTATCTATCTATCTAATCTGTCATCATCTATCTATTCTATCTACACATAGAATTAGGGACATTTTTATCACTTTAAAATCTGCTTATGAATTACAGCATGTGAGTTAAAATAGAACTATATGCCTTGCAGATCATTTTGTGCATGAAACTATATTGTTTTTTAAAATGTACAAGTTTTTTAAAATTTAAGTTCTTTATTGTAGAAAGTATTACATATGTCTCCTTTTTCCTCCATTGACCTCTCTCGCCCCTTAGCACATGCCTTCGCCCCCCTACTGTCTGTGCCCATTGGTTATGCTTATATGCATGCATACAAGTCCTTTGGTTGATCTCTTACTCCTCCTCCTCCTCCCCCTCCCCCTGAGGTTTGATGATCTATTAGATGCTTCTATGTCTCTGGATCTATTTTTGTTCATCAGTTTATGTTGTTCATCATATCCCACAAATGAGTGAGATCATGTGATATTTATCTTTCTTCCACTGGCTTATTTCGTTTAGCATAATGGTCTCCAGGTCCATCCATGCTGTTGCAAATGGTAAGAATTCCTTCTTTATACAGTAGCATAGTATTCCATTGTGTATATGTACCACAGGTTTTTAATCCACTCATCTACTGATGAGTACTTAGGCTGTTTCCAAATCTTAGCTATTGTAAATTTTGCAGCAATGAACATAGGGGTGCATATATCCTTTCTGATTGGTGTTTCTAAAATTTACATATTTAACTCATGAATTAGTTATATCACTGATACACTTTCATAGTGAATGAGAGTCAGCATTTCTCTCTGGATATGAATATATATAAATAGGCCCAAATCTGTGCATATCTCTTGCTTTCTGTACAGAGCCATCCCTCTATTCATTTCTGTAAAATTATATGTGGGAATAGTGAACATTACCACAAAATACTTATATTGTATTCCTAGGTCCTGGTGGCTTTGCAGAATGCTATGAATTTCTTGGTTATACTTCAAAAATATGGATTATTTGGTTCACTTCAATTTCTGGGGTAACATCAAACCGGTGACTCCCCACTTTATCTCCTGGGAAGAATAGTCATGGAATGACCAGAAACAAAGATGTTCAGGCTATTTTCTACATTTTATCTTCTCAATTAGCATTGATGTTATACATATATCGAAGTTTCTTTATACATACATTATTTTTCTATAATCCACACATGTAACTTTGCTTTTACCCTGCCTGATCTGTTCAATTTAAATATGTCAACATATTTATGGCTCTTTTGGCTGACTGTGGGTACTTTGCTCTGTGCTTTGTTATTGGTTAATAAATAATCTGACACATTGCTATCTGGATTGGGCTCATATTGGAATAGAAGTATACCGACATTTTACAACACAGAATGTACCAAAAGAAATAGTGCATTAACTGATAGGATAGCTAAAAGACTGGCAACTTGTTTCGCTTTTTGCTTTTGAAGATTTTGTTTCAAAAAAATTGTCAATTAAATAAAATGTGTTTAAAATAAAATAAATAAAAATAAAATGAAGACTGAAGTCCTATTATTCTTTTCAGTTTCTCTGGTGGTTAATAAAGTAACAATATGCTTATTTTTTTTATATGTTATATGTTAAATACTTTATTGATAACTGAGGGTGAGTGGAAACACCAGCCCTACTTCTCCTTATCCAATTCCATATAATATATATATTTCCAGTGGTTACTTCTTTAATTAAACAGAATACTTAAAATCTAATTCTTGTTCTATACAGGACACATATCTTGATTTCCTGTTTTATACAAAGAAAACAAAATAACACATTCTCCTCTATCACTCCTTTTTTTAAAATTTCTTTATTGGTTAAGGTATTACAAATGTGTCCTCATCCCCCTATTAACCTCCCTCCCCCCCCCCCCGCCCACACTCATGCTCCCATCCCCCTGTTGTCCATGTCCATGGGTTTGGCTTATATGCATACATACAAGTCCTTAGGTTGATCTCTCCCTCTTACCCCCACCCTCCCCTACCATCCCTCTGAGGTTTGACGGTCTAATCGATACTTCTCTGTCTCTGGGTCTGTTTTGTTCATCAGTCTATGTTGTTCTCTATATTCCACAAATGAGTGAGATCATGTGGTATTTATCTCCTCTATCACTCTTATGCTCTTTTTTATATATTTTTAAATTTCATGGTTATGAAGTTATATTTATCCAAGTAGGATAGAATATAAAATTATGTTGGCTTGAACTATAAAAGTGAATATTTAAATATAGGAGAGAGCTTCAATTTGCTTTCTGGCCTCAGGCTCTGTAAATGTTAGAGGCAAATATATATATATTCAAATGTATTTGGGCATATCCTATCTCATAAAGAGGATATGCTAATTGACCCTCACACTGTCACAAAAGATGGCAGTGCCCACAGCCAATAAGGAGGGAATATGCTAATTGACTTCCCGTTCTTAAAGATGGTGGCACCCACAGCCACAAGATGGTGGCACTTAGTCCCCTCAGCTTCCCCAGCCGCCCAGGGCTGCCCGAGGCTCAGATAACCAGGGCTTGCTGGCAGTGGCAACAACAGAGGTGTGATGGGGCATCACCTTCCCCTGATCACCGGGTCACCTCCTGCCCCTGAGGGCTCCCTGTGAGAGGGTGCAGGCCGGGCTGAGGGACTCCCCCTCCAGTGCATGAATTTTCATGCACTGGGCCTTTAGTGTGTGTATATATATATATATATATATATATATATATATATATTCAGATATGGGTATATATATTTTTTATTATACAAATGTTAACATATAATGCACATTATTATGTAACTTCTTGTCTTTTAACAATACATCCTAAAGTTTTCTCATATAACATAACTAAGAGCTGCAAGCTGTTCTGTATGAATAACATATCATACTTGGCCCTTAGCAAGCATTCATTTATATTACATCATGTAGTTTTGTCTTTCCTAGAATTTCATATAAATGGAATAATATAGTATATTGTGTTTGCGTCTGGCTTATTTCACTTTTAATAATGCTTTTAATATTTTTCAAAGTTATGCATATAAGTAGTTCATTCTTTTTTCTTTCTGAGTAGTATTCTCATTCTGTGTTTTCATCATATATTACCTACCAATCATCACATGATATACTTTTATTTTTCTGTGCTTGACTATTAGGAATCTGCTTTGCACATTTCATAACAAGTCTTTTCATGAACATATGTTTGATTTCTTTGGATAAATTCCCAGAAGTGGGATGGTGGCATCATAAAGTAAGTATATATTTAGCTTTATAATAAAACTAGAGGCTTGGTGCAAGAATTTGTGCATGGGTGGTGTCCGGTTGACCCGCCCTGATTGGGGTGTTGGGGGTCTATCAGGGGCTGGGCCGGCTGGGGGCGGGGTGGGGGGCCGATTGGGGCCCGGATCAGGCTGGTTGGCTGCCACAGTGCATATCATAGCCACCAGTCATTCTGGTCATTCTGGTTGTTCTGCCATCTGGTCTCTGATATATGTAGATAAAAACTGCCAAAATGGTTTTCAAAATGGGAAAATTTTCAGTTCCCACCAGCAATGTATGGAAGTTTCATATGCTCCACAACTCAACAACACTTTTGTTAAGCCCTTTTTAATTTTAGCTATTCTAATGAAGGTATGTTGCTCTCTCATATGGTGTTAGTTTACATTCCTCTAATAACTAATTGTGTTTTGCATCTTTTATGTCCTTATTTGTCATTTAGGTATCTTCTTTGATGACATGTTTAATACTCTATCACTTTTTAATTGGGTTATCTCTTACTGAGTTGTTAAGAGTTCTTTATGTATTTAGATACAAATACCTCATCCTATATATGTTTTTCAAATGCTGTGTCCCAGCCTGTGAATTAACTTTTCATTTTTCTTAAAATGATAAAAGTTTATTTAGAATGATAAAAGTATTTTATTTTAATAAAGTCAAATTTATCACTTTTCCACATTTTATGAATTATGTGCTTTTTATATGAAATTTTAGCCTAACTTAACTTATCAAAGCTTTCCGTCTGTTCTTTTCTAGGTATTTTGTAGTTTTAGCTCTTATATTTAAGTGTTTCATTCACTTAGAAAAGTTTTGTCTGTGGTCTGAGGTAAATATTAGAGTTAAAATTCTAACATATGGATATCCAATTGTTCTAGGACCATTTGCTACAAGACTATATTTTGTAGCCTGTCAATTTTGTTGAAAATCCCATTATGTTTGAGTCTATTTCTTGATTCTATTTGGTTTTATTGATACATTTTTTGTACTTATGCCAATGCCACATGACCTTGATTGTTGTAGCTTTGTGTTAAATCTTGAAATCAGGTACTATAGGTCCTAGAACTCTACCATCCTTTATTAATAAAATGTTTTTATTA